CCAGCAGTATCTGTAACACTGCACTGCTGTGTGATAATTATTCTTATTAAGCTGCATATAATCACCACACAAAATATCCAACTTTGTTTTAACAGCTCAAGAAAACAACATCTAGACAAAAATTCTTGGACAAGTTTTCAATTGGTGTAAATTAGTATACGTCCGTAACTTTGATGGAATTAAGATGATCTGCATTACATTCTGCGTATTCCTTCTGCATGTCAGATCTCCCTAGCAAAACCAATTGCAGGCTATATTGGCCATAGTCAACTTTCAATTGCTATACTCTGTAAAACACATAAGTTCCTTTCACAGCAAGAAGAAAAAAAAATTATTCCTCCTTCCTCATATCTAATAAAGATGCATAGTGGTTTTTGATGTCTTGGAGTGGTTTATTGTGTGCGTGTGTGTCCGTTTTAGGGGTGGGGTTTTTGTTGGGTTTTCGGAGGTTTTTTTAGTATTCAGTATAGTTAGCACCAAATTTTGTTTATTCAGGGAGAGAACATACTACATTCTTTGGTACTTCACTCACTCTAATGCAAATTGGTATTTTTAAGCAGTTGATGTACAGACTTGTGACTCCTACTTACTTCTAAAGAACTTCAAAAGAAATGATGCCCTCGTCCCTTAATGTGATCAGGTTTTGGAAAGGTGCTTTTCATGAGTTCATATTTTTAGAATGAAAGCAACATCTGATTTTGAACTGCAGAGAGGAATTCTTCCAGGGTTATTTCTCAACATAACTGAATAAGGTGGTGGCCTTGGTGTAATCAACACATTCTTGTCACTTGGTGCTTCAGAGGAAATTAGGAGACATATTCCTTTCATACCTATCCAGCCAATTTCCTCATCCTTCTTTTACACATGAGCACCTTTAACCAGTATAAATTACACTCTCTTGGTTTTTTCCCCCTTCTTCATTTTAGGTTTCCTTCCCCAGCCCCCCTACCTTTATGATACTTTGCCTTCTCATCAGAGAACAGGCAGGAAATTATCCTGTGCATTTTATATTCATTTTGTCATTAGTCACTACTAGTTAATTTATGTATTTATGCAAATTTATGTCTAAAGCAATTGTTCCTTAATCAGTTCACGTGTACCTGCAAAACTTAGGTTTCCAACAGCAAATCAAATAAAACTCCTTCTGTGACCAGTGCCTTATTTGCAGGCAAAGTCCAGTTGTGTGAGCATACTTAGACGAACGCATACGAACACACTTCCATACGGAAAGCAGCCATTCTAATTACAGAACATTATCCAAAAATAAACACAAAAAAGCATTCCTCCAAGCAAGTGAAGTTGCACAACTGGAGGTCAGAGCCTCAACTGATACAAAAGCTGTGCTGGTTTACGCCTGCGGTGGAGGTAGTCCAACTTGCACCCACAACCAATACACATCAGACCTGTCCATGCACAACCTGCACATAGAAAGGGGATGTCTTTTGCTTGCAAAGACAAGTTTAAGGGGTGATGCTGTTGCTGGTAGCATTTCACCTCATCTCAAAGCTCCACCACAGCTGGTGAAAAACAAAAAATTCTTGCCTTTTAGTTTTCTTACTTAAAAAAATGTGGTTTACCTCGAGTGTGCTGCATTAGGGCAAAGGCAAGGGGAGTTAGAAGTGCCTGAGCACAGCACAGACTAATCACCATGTAATTCAAAAAGTGACCTAAACCTTTATTTGCCTTTTTGCATGTCATCGTCATTAAAACGCACTGCCTGCTTTCCGATACCAATTGAAACAAAGGAAAACCGGGAGTACCAGGACCCGCCGTACTCGGGTCTGTGGGAGAGCAGCAAGCGCTGCAGCAGCAGCAGGACCGAGGGAAAAAACCCTCATTTATAACCAGTGACAACTAAAACCTATGAAGTTTTTAAAAGAATGTGATTGTTGTCAAAAGGAATTGGGTACAACAATGCTGCGTTCAGCTCTGGTTCCACTCAAAGCTGTGGCTGAGGGGCTCTGGAAAAGCTGCTGGAAGGCTGGTGGGCACAGACCAGCAAGAAAGTGAATTTTGCATACTGTACGGATCATCGCTCAGTTCAGGGCAGTCATATTGAATCTGTGATCAACCAATTGTGCTTCATGAAACCGTCAGCCCTCATTTATGTCTAGCTGTTTTCTTCCGTCCTGCTGTAAACAAGCTCTGCTCTGAGCTGTCTCCCTACCCTTATCTGCTTACGAAGATCACACAGACAGACCTCATCAGCAGCCTTAGAGTTAAAGTTAAAGTTACTGCTTCCAGACAGCAGTCCCCACGCAAGCTGGAAGTCAAAAAGAAGAGCAACTTTGGAATGACAGAGTTTTAGTTCCTTTTAGGAAATGCATACCTTAGATTCATACACATACTGGCATGTTATGTCTCTTTCATGAAATTAAATTAGGTGTTCCTAATATGAACAACTGTTTCTAACATCAGCAAACTAGCTCAGCAGATTCGTCCATGGTTTTGTTTGTGGGTTGGTTGTTTGGTTTTTTTGTTGGGTTTTTTTTGTTGTTTTGTTTTGTGTTTTGTTTTTTGGTTTTTTCCTTTGAGGCCTTGTTTGAATACAGCCAAAAAGAGAAGTAACTGGAAACACTGTCAATCTGGTAGGGTTCCAAGAACCTAATAATGTCTGAAACACTCTAAGGACTGTAATGGTGGTAAACAGGAACAGGTATGTTGGCTTCTGTTCTCATTCACTTCAGCAAAGCATTAGCCTTTCAACATAAAGCAGAGCACAGTTTTCAAAGAATGATCCTCCACATAAAGAAGGATGGAGTCTTACTAAAAACATTCCTCTGCGAATGCATACACAAAGGCGTTAGCTGGTATTTACAGCATTAAATTCTTGCAACCAGCTGCTAAGTCCCTGTTAAGGCTTTCCTTTATGCAGCTGGAGCTGGAACCTTTTCCCTTCTCCTAGCCTATTACTTTGTCTATTTAAGGGATGGCAGCCAAAGAGAAACAGCTTGTAATTTGCACCTGTCTACTTTAAGTACTCGATGTTGGATTTCGCAGAGAGCAAACTCTTCACTGCTAATGAGAATGACACTTAGTAAGGTCAAATGTATTTTTTAGCTGACTCCGCAGCAATTAAAAAATAAATACATACCCACTTTGTTTAAGCCTGTTCTAGCTAGAGAATGAGGCTAAAGGAAAAGCCTCATCGAAGAAGAGCAGCTCAGTGTGTAGGTGGAAGACGTAGCCTCATCAGTCCAATCTAATGTAATACCGGGCACAGGTAGGCACGGCTGAACCTGTACACTGCCTGTGCAGGAGCACACAGGGGAGCTTTTGCCTCTTCCCCCTATAACCTCCAGAGCTGTTTCAGAAAATGACCACATGCAAAGAATCCTTCTGAAGTTCTACACACTGGGCTGCATTTTGAGGACTACGCTTTTCTACCTACAAGGGTCAGGCCTGTGGCAAAAGCGTTCTGAGAACTGAAAAGAAATGCAAGCTTCCCTCAGACCCAGAGGCGTGCAGCAAGCATTACCCTGCAGAGACACACTAGCTGGAGCACAGAGCAGTGAAGGTGTACCTCAAGAGAATAACCCACGTGTGATGTTTCGGCCTTGCATAAAATACTTTAGCATGTTTGCTTCCTGCTAGAAAACAAGCATTAGCACTTTGTCAACTGTGGTATCATTTAAAAAATACACTGAAAGAAATAACAATTACACTGGCGTATTAGTTTGTTACTAAGTAGTCTTTTTCTTGCTTACTCTTAAAATAAAAAAGTCCTCAAAAACTCCAGCTACAGAGCTGATGACAAGAACAAAAACGCTGGGAGAAAAGAAATAGAAAGGAAATAAAACAAAGCAAAACATACAATTTATTAAAGAAAACATTGGTGCTGCATTTTGATTTCATAAATTGTCCCCATTTGTACTTCCTGTTTAAACAATAACTAACATGACGGTGGGTTAAATGAAGTTGAGATTGTCACAAACATGGCCTCACTAGTAATTAATGTAGTTTAATATGGTTGTTGGCACACATCTCACATGACAGATAATGTTCCTACATGTCACTGATAGGACCTTTCAGCACAGCTTTAGGAGATCTACCAGGCATTGCTGAGGTTGGTTAGGTCAAAGGGTTGAACTATGTGTAATTCAGAACAGAGGAGGTCCCACGGTCACTCCACAAAAACAATTACACTACTTATTTCACTCCATCCCTTGCCCGAAATTCACAAGCCTCACAGTTTCAGCGCAGTCAATCTCGCTCTGCCCTGGGGCTATGAGCCACATGAAAATATGTGGTGCTGTGTTTATAAATCTAATCAAAAATAGAAACAGTAGACAAGCACAATGAGGTCCTACTATGGATCACGGGAATTCTCTAAATTCTGAAGGCACTTTTGTTTAACTTCCGTGGGCCTTCTCCTACCATTACAATGTCTCGTACTCTCGTTAATCATCCCCTTGACTTGTCAATGATATAAAGGACCCTACGCTGACTTCTCTCCCATCACACTACAAATAATATTATGAAATAGCAATACTAGGAATAGCCCTTTAATTTTTCTGTTTTACAGCACGGTTTCTTCCCGCTTACCTCTTTCTCCATGCCAGCCTGCCCTTTCTCAGACCTGCAGCAGAAAACGCTTCCTCCTGCAACAAAAGAGAGGAGCGCATCTGAATTTTCAGTCTGTACACAGTCATTAGGTTTAACACGTGGACTTGCAGAGCACCAGCCTAGAAACCTGTCAGGATGGGGGGGGGTCTTTTCCTGCTGCAGTCCCTGCTTCTGCCTCACCAAAAAGCAAAGGGAGGATAGAGTGCTGTTCCTTCACTTCATCTTTTTGAAAACAACTTTACATCAGATCACAATAAAAAATTAGCTAATAAATAAAGATAAACAAGAAATTAGTAATTTAAGCTCAGATGAAATAACACCAAAGGAGCTGTGTTTGCAAGGGGAAGCAGCCCAGAGGTGGATAGTTCCTACCTGCAGACAGGGACTACTAAAACAATGCAGTTTGCTGTGGAATACACTTAACCTGAAGATTATAGTACTAAAGCTGCCAGATTCAGGAATGCTGCTGTGATCCAGCATTTAGGTGGGTCCCACTTGTACCTCACTCCCTGTCCTGGGATTTCCAGTAGAAGGATAGAAATTACCTTCTACTTGAGGTCATCACCATTGAGCAAACACAATAATTTTACAAGTTATACATCGCATCAGCAAAAACGCCTCGATTTTATATCAGCTACTTTTGTCTCTATATGGGAAAAAAAAATTCTTCCCTGTGCTCACTGAAATCAATGGCAAAACTCAGTTTGATTGCAGTTGCAGGACCTGAACCGCAATGAATAGCAAGCTGCTTCCTTTGCCAGCTTTTCCTTTATGCATTTATACGAACACACGTTCAGGTTATTTTGCAGGGCCTGAAAAGAAAACAAGACTTCGAACAATTAAAAATATCCCTTCAGAGTCCCTCAGAAGCTTTAATTGACCTTCTGGGTCAGAAAATGCCCTGTACAAAGTACATGTTTGGCCCCAGTTGAGGAAACTCTCTCTTCCTGAGGGCACCAGGCAAAGTGCTTAGTTCTAACTACGTGCTTAAGTTTCATTGAAATTAATACAATGGACAGTGGATGGTGCCACAAATTCTCTGTGGAAAAAGGCTGCATTGTCACTGTGGTTGCTCAGTAATGAATGAAGGGCTGGGTTTGGCCCAGGTCTTGCTGACATTGAGAGTCTGCTGACCTTTGCCATCACGCCTTAATTTCGGTGCCCTCCTTGGGGTGCTGAGGCCACTGCAGCAAAGGCAGTTCTCACCCTTACTGCAGCCAGCCCTGCCCAAACAGCCTCTGCGCAGCAGCCCACAGCTGTTGCAGAAACTTTCCCCAAATTTCTCTGCTCCGCAGCACTCTGTGATGTTGAAAATAAAGCCCCACCGAAGATCATACAGGTAAGCTAAGGCCAAGTATCTAGTCCTCATATGTCTCTGAAAACAACCCCAGCATCCCAACTCCAAAATCCAGGAAGGGTTTCCAGCCCAGGGTAATATCTGCATCCCTTTCCCAGCTGCTCTCACACACTGAACACAGCAGATAAATAGTTTTGAGTCCAATGGCATGGCCCATTCCTCATTCTGGCTCAAACAGGAGCAGCAAAAAAATAGAACCTGAATGAATCAAAGACAATAAAAGCTTGAAATGGCTCTCCTCCTTTTCAAGGTAGAAACACAAGAAGCTGCCAGCAGAAAGAATCGATAACAAAGATGTAAATTCAGCATTTCCCTCCATAGTCAACATCTGCTCATTAAAAAAGGAGCCAAAGATGCAGCAATAAGGATTTCCAAAGCCACAATAGTCCCGGTAATCCAAACATCAGTGGGAAGACTTGGACTATCATCTTAAAGAATGTGATTGACCAAATGCATAAAGCAAAGGCAAAGACATATAAACAATGAGTTCAGAGGAAACATAAGTAACATTAGTGCCCTAAGAGTGATTTTCTTACAGTTCAGGAACTGTAAATCCCTTTACTGGGTTTTTTTGGTGAATTTTTCTTTGTTTCTTTGGGTGGGAGATGACAATGGTGGTTTTCTTAAATGAAGGTGGTAGACATCGTTTTTCCTTTTTTGTTTTTAATACCAAGCAGGTAACGCATTCAATACTGCTTAACTGGTGTTCACTGTGGCCTAACTTAACCTCATTAGTCTGTTTTCTTTAGCTGGATAACAGCTGAATCATTAGCATTAAACTGGCTTGCAGTCCCGGAAGAGTACAGCAAAAACAAAGCACATGATTTTTTCCATCAATCAAAAAATAACATAAAACTTGTTTCAGATCCCACTAGATATTTACTTTTATACCTGGCTGATGTAACATTTTGTATGATTTAGGGTGGAATTTAGTTATTTTTAAGTACATCTGTAGTAAAATGACAAAGCAAAACACCCACTTGGAAGTTATTAAACTGGATTCCACTCTCCCTCTCTCTTTCTTTTTTTTTTTTTTTTTTTTTTTTTTTTTCCCATTTTTTTCTTTTTTTTCTTTTTTTTTTTTTTCACTTTTTCCCAATTTATGCTATTTTTTCCATAAGAGGAACAGTTAGGGAAACTACATCAAATACGCAACATATCTGAGTAGCTCTGTGTGATGAAAATAATCTATTTTTAATACAAAGATGGAGAAATTACATACAGAGAGATGCAACAAAATAACTGGCATAGCACCACAACTATATCAAGAGGCTGCTGCTGCTAGTCACGGATCTAGGAGAGATTAAAAAAACAGACCTTCCCACTGGAGCAAGCTGAGGTACCTTTTTCTCACACTAGTTGATACTTTCTGCTGTATCAGCTACTGGAAATCACTTGGGTTGCATGAAGAGCCTCTGTAGAATAAGGGTCTTGCAAACATAGCCATAAAATGTACCATTCTTGCCATGCTAGCATGGCATACCCAACATCTCCTTAAAGCACTCCCAAATGCACAGGCATGTTATCACAGGCCAAGGAGACTAATGCTGGGCACAGCTAAGGTGCTGGTGATTGCTGGCAGAGAAGTAGCAGGTTCATAGCAGGAGTAGCAAAGCCACAGTTCGTCATCACGGTGGCTGCCTTCACTCCTTCCTCACCTTCACCTAGTACACAATTTATCACGTGCTAAGAAGAAGTGCCGTGGGATCTCTGTGCTACAATATCAACAGAAACCACTGAGTAAATGATAACCCTAACAACCTACTTCTAATTCCCTTTGGACTGTCTCATAAATACCAGCTAGCCAACACTGGTCTTTAAAAAGTATTTCTTCAGGGGAAAATTGCCCCTCTGGTGAAGAGAATCCATCAGTCACTCAAATTCACCAGCACTGACCTTTGAAGCCATAAGCACTGTGCTTATCCTTCTTTAATCACCAGTTTTGGGAGCAGGTTCTTCAAAGTAATCTTAGATCTTCTGTAGCCTTTCTGTTTTTTTCTTTTTTAATTTAAAAACTATGGAGTTTACTGCAAATATACTTTTAGTAAGATCATTAACACACTTAAAATTAAGCTCATATTCAATTACTTTGCTTGATAGGTTGTAATGTTCCTAGTCTTTTTCTATGTGCTTGAAAAAGTAGATAGATAAATGATTTTGATATTGATAAGCCTCAGCAGGGAGCCAGCTGCTCGCTCACCCCCCCACCCAGCGGAATGGGGGAGAGAATCAGAAGGGTAAAAGTGCAAAAACTCATGGATTGAGATAAAGTCAGTTCAACAATTTTTTTAAAGTGAAGGGGGAAAAAAACAATAAAGGAAAAAAAATATCCCAAAAGAAAAACAAGTAACACAAAAGAAAACAATTGCTCACCACCAACTGACCGATGCCCAGCCAGTCCCCATGCAACAGCAGCCCCGGTCAACCTTCACCCACATCCCTCACCCTCAGTTTTATTGGGGAGCATGATGTCATATGGTATGGGACACCCCTTTGGTCCGTCAGGCTCAGCTGTTCCAGATGTGTCCCCTCCCAACTCCTTGTGCACCCCCAACCTACTCACTGGCAAGGTGGTGTGAGAAACAAAGGGCCTTGATGCTGTGTAAGCACTGCTCAGCAACAGCTAAAAGATCCCTGTGTCATCACAAATCCAAAGCATAACCCCACACAAGCTACTATGAAGAACTTTAACTCTGTCTTGGCCAAAACCAGTGCGCTACACCATGGTAGCAATTGCTGTGGAAGTGTCATATACCAAATTTTAGTTTCTGTGCCATCATTCCAATACACCCATTTCCCACCAAATGGAAACCACCTGTACAGACACTAATCATACCGCTTCAGGGCCTGGCTGACAGATGATCAGCTCCCAGTGGAGACCCAGGGCTTGTGTTTGAGAGTGCTGAAATTTTTAGTGGTCATCACCTGAGAGTCAGTACTGGAGGAAGAGCAAATTCAGACCCAACCTGGACAAAAGGATGTCCAGAATAGGATGACAAGCTCCCACTTTTGCTTGCCAGGCTTCTCTTTGGCACGGCTGCCCACCATAAGGCTTAGAAACAATTCAAATGACCATGATAGCAAGCAACAGGGTCAGGGCACTGAGCACAGCAAGGAAATCTCGTTCCTTACGGTGTGGTCAAGCCTAAATCTCTTTTTCCTCCAGTTTTCTACTTGTAAAATGGGCACAATAATACTCCGCATCACCTCTGTGACTCTACCAGCCATGGTGGATATCTGCTGACCCCTCTGGATGCAAAATTGTGGTACCTGTCCTTAATCCTCCCTTCCCATCCACATCCCACTTCTTATCCAGAAAAAAAAAAAGGTTATTTTCATTGCAGTTTGTGACTTGTAATTGGATTAGTATGTCAGTTAAAAGTACTGAGCTGTACATGAGATTCTAAAAAAATACACATGCTTTAGAGGCAGAACCAATAAATGATTTTGCTTGTGCAAAAACAATACTCTAAAATGCAGTGGGACACCATATGCAAAGGTAAATAAAAATCTAAACAGGTAGAAAGCAGTTATCAGTAGACAGGTTAGTAAATATAATATATTTTGACTATCCCCACTTTTAGTGAACAACAGCTCCAACTTCCTTTGAAAAGTGCAGAGTTTTCTTCCTAAT